TATCATTGTGCGATATCATAGTTCTCGTATTTCATTTCTTTTCCGATGTCATTTGGCTTGACCAGTAACACCAAAAAATAGGTCATTGTTAATTCATCAACCCCAACCCGATATTATACTAATTTTTTCTTTTCTGATTAAAATGTTAACGCTATCAGGCTTACCGGTAATTACGATTTCAGTTTTATTACAACATCCTATATAAAATTGCAGATAAAATTGAATTATCGTTTGCGTCTAAAAATTACACGAAGAAAAGACGAAGATGGCGAGTGAAGAATAAAAAGTAAAAGAAAAAAAGAAGAGGAAGAAGAAGAAGAAGAAGAAGAAGATGAAAAGAGAATTGGATCAGTGGATCCTCTCAGCAAGTTTTGGTCCTGATCGTCGTCGCGAGGAGACCCTTTGAAGAGGTTTCGAAGTTTATGCGTGCCTGTTTACCACCCGGTAAATGTTATGCTCGAGTCATAACGTATATCTTGGAGGGCTCCGAGTCCCGTACGGGACGACCATTAGCCGCATTCAATCACCATTACACGCTCGCGCGCTTTCTGCGCCTGCTTGCCCCTTAAATCCTTGCCTTCATGCCGACAAAAATATCTCTGAGCGAGCGAGCGAACGAACGAACCGAACGAACCGAACGAACGAACTAAACGATGAAGAAAACGATCCTTACGATGCTAACCACATAAGCTATGCTCCTTTGTGTTTAGCGAGAATCAAAAAAAAAACAAAAACAAAATAAACTTTTCCTTTTAACTAAATCGACTTTGATCTCGAATTTTTATCAATATCTTTTTTTAACACTATGTCGTCTCTCGGTGGTACCACGTTGGTGTCATGCGGAAAAAAAAGATAAATACTAAGAGTATCCAACAAAATATAAATAAATAGATAAATACATAATAGAAAAAAAATCGAGGGATAGGATCGAGAACTCGTGGGAACTGATGACAAGATTAGTAATAATAAGCAGCAATAAGCGAAACAATGTAAATTTGAAGTTGAAAATAAAATGAATTATGTATTTGGAGTGTTCGAAGAAGAAGGAAGAAGGGGGGGGGCCTTTGTGACCTCTTGGAAAGAACGATTTAATTCGCGATCGATCGTGCAGTAAGCAAAGAGATGAGATGCAAAGTCTGCATCTGAAGAGAAAAAGTAAGAAAGAGACTGCCGGTTACACCAACGGGCAGACCATCATTGAAGTATTTCGGACGGGTGGGCCCGCCGGATTCCCGAGCTTCTTTCTCGGAGAAGCCCTCAGGCCCATCGTAGTTCCCAGGAGTGTCAGAGGTCGCAAGGCACTCCTCCACCTTATTCCTTTTCTCCCTAACCCCTCTCCCCACTACTCGGCACAGCCCTTCTTACCATCGCCACTCTCACGAACCATTCGACCGAGATGTGCAATTCTCTTTCTTTTCTCTTTCCTAAAGTATTATTTTATTTATTTACCAATCCATCATATTCGCTCGACAAATATTTCAACAATTGTTTTACTAAACAAAGTATTGACTATTATGATAGATCAATATTTTACTGTATTTTATTCATAAATATTTAACCCTCGCGCAACCCTTCGTGCAACTCTCTACCCCTATTACAAATATCAATAAATTGTTTCATTATTTATGCTGACTAAAAAACAAAATAAAAAAACAAAAAAAACATTGAATGTGCCCAGTACTATGGTAACCCTAAATTAAAATATACATCTTGTATCATATCAACACCATATCATTGTTATATAAAATATCTCAAAGTTATTGCGTAAGGAATTGGCAGATAAATTACGGGTCGACCTTTGACACGAGTGGATAATGGTGGAAAAGGGAGAAAGATCGGTCTTGAAAAGTACGAGCTCGTGGTCGGCCCTTCTTCTTCATCTTCTTCTTTTTCTTTCTCTTCTTCTTTTTCTTTCTCTTCTTCTTCTTCGTCTTCTTGTTCGTGTACACGTCTCTCGATATACCCAAGAGTTAGGAGGCGCAGTTATTACGATTGGCCGGGTCGTTTTCGCGGGAAGCATGGACCAATCGAAGCAACGCCAAGGATCCAGCCTCTCTTCTCCTCTTTCTTACTCTTATTCCCATCGTCTCTCCTAGAGTACTTGCTGCGAACGAGCATGCTCCCGCCTTTAGTCTAGTCAGAGAAGCTGCACCTGTGAGATAAGCTGTAGTACTTACACCTGTATCGTCTTACCTAACGTTAGATACACGCATACATCTTTTTTTCATGAATTCGTCTATTCGAGTTTTACAAAATGATCTCTATTGATATCCTAAAAGTGTTCAAATGTGTGTTAAACGATCTAATCCAATAATCAACGTTCTTCTATTCGTTCAAATGTGTTGATATTAATATCGGTGAGAGGGAGAGTGTATGTTTTTAAAAAGTGTTTCAATTTTGTGTGTTATTGTGTATTTTTGTTTATAATGACAATAGACAGCAATGAAAATATTCGATGCAACACGAACGCTAGTTAACAGATAAGAGAAACGTGGTGTCTTTCTACTTGTTAACTCCAAAGGGACAACCAACTGTCATATGTACATAGGTCATTAATCAACGTAGTAACGGTGATTATCCGTTAAATGTTAATGAGTTTCCAAGAGATGATGGTATAGTACCTTCAACAAGATCATTGATCATAAGGGGAAAGAACTAGAAGCGCCATTCCCCAGGTAACCTTCTTTTTCAACTGAAACGTTGATTTAGATGTTCCCGGTGAAACGCGCGCGCGTAAGGAAATCGATTTAAACCTAGATCGAAAGACTCGTTTCGTCATTAGAACAAAATTTCATCCTTAAAAATGTCCTAATTAAAGACCAAAGAAAAAACACAGAAATAATGGATAAACAATCATTAAGATTTGCAAAACGTATTGTCGTCATTTAGAAATGAAAAGAAAGAAAAAAAGAAAAAAAATGGGAAAAAGTTACGATCTAATCAGTGATTTTAGCGATCATCATCGATCATGTTTTTGTCGAGGCTAGTCTTCTTCTTCTTCTTCTTCTTCTTCCTCTTCTTTCCACAAATAGTTCTTGATATTTACCAGGAAAGGAAAGTAGTTGGGTATATCATGGAGATCGCACAGTAGCACGTGGAAGGTTTGCACGTGCGTGCTAAGCTTATAGTCTGCTGCTGTCCGGTGGTCTCTCGCATGTACATGCGCTTAGTATGGTCTCCCTTTAGCACCCAACCGAACGACAGAGGAGGAACTTCCAACTCCGTTGTACGCTCGTAACTCTTTTACAGAACCCGTGTCAAATTGGCGTCCATTATGTTTTATGGCAGCGCGAAATGTAAGAGCAACGTTGAAGAGGACCGTGTTAGAACACGGAAGTTTCTTCAAAATCTTTACCTACCCTTTTTCTGTTTTTGTTTTTTTGCTTTTTTTTCTTTCTTTTCCCTCTTTCTCGTCTTCGACGTACTATAAGAAAATTAGAATGCTTGAACTTTCGTCGAAAATACTAACACGACAACGTTTCTCGACATAAATATACCTCATTCAGAAATAAGTCGTCGAAAGATTACTAAATTTTCTCATAGCAATTTTCATGTTGCTCGATACTTTTTTTGTATTCTTGTTTTTTTTGTTTTTATTTTTTCTCCTTTCCCATGGGACCCCTATGGGCATTCCATGAAGCGAGTAAACGAGTAAATTTGTAGGTAGAATGGTTGCCTCCAATACACGATCAAATCCCATAAGTCACGAACTCGAATACTGTGTTTAACCTGTGCGAAGCCCATCTTCGTCCATTATCCTTTGCGTTCGGCTAAGATGAACACCGCGTATCTTAAATATTTCGCCAACACTCACGCCCTTTTTTCTCTTGTGCACTGAACCAATATTATCCCTCGGGATGCCAACATATCGATACTTGGCCGAGGATAAAGTAATTGGCCATTATTTCGTCGACTTTGACGAATTTCCTCGTTGGATATGATAACAGCCTTTATTTCTTCTTCCCTTATAAATCTTAACTTCTTTATATATATATATATATACCAAACACCACATTATTATATTTATTAAGTATCGTCGTCACACTTTTCATTTCTATTCGAAAATTGGACATAACTAATCCTGCATTTTATATTTTTTCGAGTACTGTCATTATTTCATCGTAATTGTGGTATTATTTTGTGTGTTGTTATAATTTACTAAATAGCTTATAGAATTATATTAAATCAACATTCTATAACAAAGCCACAGCAACACGTTGCTAGAGCATCCTATAATATTCTAAATTCGTGCATGGCAGACGTATATACATGTATTTATTTATTATATCTTGTAGATACTCTAATAGAGTGGAATAATGAACTCAGTGACTATATATGAACCTATTAATCTTCAGTATATCTATCGATAGATCAAAGGACCGATTTTCCATATACAACTTCTCTCGAGTCACTTTGCCCGATGCATCGATCATCTTTTTGATATATAACTTCTTCTTCTTCTTCTTCTTTTTCTGTTTCTTTTTTTCTTTCTTTTATTTCACAAACGAGTTACTCCGAAGCTACCAACTTACCAGATCGAAATTAATAACCATCTCGATGAGATTCTATCCAGATCGTGATGCGTCTTGCACAGGAAATCCTGTCTCCGCAAGAGGAGAATCAGCACGTTGTAGGATTATACGGTGTATGATGTTGAAGAAGAAGGACTATGTTATGTAACAGAGAGAAGGAGATAAGAAACGTGAAAGGTAAAAAGCAGTAGCGGCGAGTTTTGTTAGCCACGCGCTTCAATCAATGCGTAGACGTTAAACAGCTGCCAGGATCTATGAACGATATCCATGATTCTAATTAAACCTGACTCGATTGAGTCTGCTCGTATTAATTAACGTCATCCTTCTATCACCTATGCGCGTTTCGATACTTTAAATACTAAACATGCGTGACATTTCGATATTAGATTTTATTGAGATTATACGATTATCAAAATATTATCCCATTTCAATATTTCTAATTATAATTCGTTTGAATTCTAATTGCAGGAGACTTGAAGAGGCGACACTCTTGGAACAGCGAAGCGGATTATCAATCGATCGAAGCTGGAGTTGAAACGATTTCAGGAGAAGAAGCTGAACTTTCATCCTCCGAAAACGACGATAGAATTTCATACAAGGTATTTAATATGTTTTATCAATAAAAATCATTCATTATGTGTACTTGAGGGATATGAAGAGAACGAAGGGAGAGGAAGAGAGGAGGGAGGGTGATCGAAGTTATGCCAAAGAGCAAAGGGCACGTAACCAAAATTACATTTCACGTGCACGAGTATATACATAGTTTGGAAAGGAGGAAGAAGAAGGATGTATAACGGCCGCGACGCAACGGTGCATTTCATTTTACTACTTTAGCCAGACAGAAACGTGGACCGTAAAACCTGAATACTGCAGCCGCGTTTTAACGATGACCACCGCCACCGCTGTAGAAAATCATCCTCGTCGTTCTCGTCGGACCACAGATGTCCGACACAATGATCGCGAAACATTTTCACTTACATTACATTCACATTACATACATTTCTCTTCCGCTTATACTCAAATTACATAAACAAATTTTCATTAAATAGAATCGTCTAGGGGGTTCATCGAATTTTCATCTAAGGGATGGGAGAAAAGAAATTAAACAACGTTTTTGACATAGAAAATAGTTATTCGTCGTAATTAGATCTCTGGAAGTTTGTTATCTGTTTTATATCTGCTTACTCGGAATTCGAGTACACATACTTACTAACGAGTAAAAGAAAATTGTCTAAAGAAACTCTAACCAAGAATATTCCAGCTATATATTTTTAGAAAATGTAACGAGCTTGTACGTATGTACGCCGTTTATGTTCTCTGTTCAATCGTTTCTTCCATAGTTCTTCGTATTTCTCCATCGTTCATTCTTTTCCTTACCAATAATCTTAAGTCTTGCTTATACGATTCGTCGTCGACTTCTTTAAATTATTGAAAATTATACCTCGTCGTGTAATTTTTTTCAACAAACCATAGTAATTCAACGAATCAGTTTCATAATCATTGTCTTCTACTTTTTAACAAATTATTGGGTTGGTCAATGAGTAATGTCAACATTTTGAAATTACAAAAAAATTACTGGCATATGTTATTTTTACAACATTACTGCACAATATCATCGAGAAAAGAACACAAAATTACAAATACACAAAATGACTTCGTCAACCTAATAACCGATTGAAATCTTTATATTAGATAATGTAAAATAAATTGCTGAATAATTATCTAATCCTGTTTTACAAGTATAACGGAAAATGTAATGGAAGAAGACTCAGGCAAGGAAAATATTGTAACGGTTTTAAAATGATTCATGTGTGCATTCATGCTACTGTTAATTTACGTTGAAGGAAATGTGCGAAGCTGTAAAATAATAAATAAAAAAGAGAGAGAAAGAGAGAAAGAGAAAGAGAGTAAAACTACTACCTTCTTACCTACACTTCGTTACTAATTCGCAGATCCACTGTGAATTCTCTTCTCATTACTCTTTCTGTCTTTTCACTATTTTCTCTTTCTCTGTTTCTCGAGCTCTAAATCAAATTCGTGCGACCGGGCTTACGATCGTTAATTGCTGGATGAGAGAGAGAGAGAGAGAGAAAGAGAGAGAAAAAGAGAAAGAAAAAAAAAAGCTCCCTCGCGCAAGTCCACTCACACATTTTATGGCACCGGAAAATCAGTCTTGGTTTTACCGTTAAGTTTATGCGACTCGCCTATAAGAACGCATACACACGAAAGCGCATAAACGCGTAAACTGACGGTAGTAATCGTTCCTTCTTGCACAGATCTTCTTCTTCTTTTTTCTCTCTCTCTCTCTCTCTCTTTTTCTCGAACCAGCTTTCATTATTTTTTTACGAGCTCGCAAAACGTTCCTTCTTCTATTTCGTTATTCTTCTGACTTTAGGTGAATAACAACGACTATTAATACAAATCGAGAAATGTACAAAGTTATATTTTATTTGGTATAAATAAAAAAAAAAAAAAAGAAGAAAAATAAATAATACTCGAGAGTATACAAAACCTTTTGTGAGAGAATAAGAAAGAGAAAGGGTGTAATTCTTCAGGTTGGAAATCTCTTGAAAGGGTCAGAGAAGTTAAACGCTCTGGGAGAAAGATTTACGGATCACGAACATAGAATGAGATAGAAAGAGGGAGGAAGAGAGGAAGGAAGGGAGGAAGGGAGGGAGGGAGGGAGAAAGAGTAGAATGAAATTACAGTGAATTTCAAGCTTTAATCCGATCGTTCCTTTAACTCGATTGACGTTGCAATTTGAGGCTTTTTTTTCCTTTTCCTCGATCGTAACGACGACGACAATAAAAATCGTAATTTTCTTCTCTCTCTCTCTCTCTCTCTCTCTCTGTTGAGTTTTTTTGCAAGAAAAAAAAAAGCACTAAACTATTGTACTTGTGCAAATTAAATGAAATTATTTAATAATAAAAAAATATAAAGAGAGAGATAATTAATTTTGTTTACTTTTCAAATTGCACTTGGAATTATTGGATTCGCGTGTAAAATAAGAAAAAGAAAAAGAAATAAAGCATTTGAGAGATGATGAAGGACGAAGAATAACGAGGACATTAAAATCGATATATCGTTTGGATCGAAGTGCCTCGAGGTCTTTCTCGAGCATATTTCAATAACGTCCCGAACGAGATCCTTTTTCGCCATGATTCATACTATGCTCCATTATGATGCATTAGCACAGAGTTATTACGAATGCTCGTGACAGTCATTGATGGCCCTTGACGGGACCGGTAGGCCGAATATAAAAGAGAACTGAGATGAACGTTCGACTCATCAGCGAATTCGTGTCTGCGAGATGGCGAAACTTCTTCACGGTCATTACTACTGCAATTTGTCAGAACGCTTTTAAAAAGTATATCAGTGACGATAACGATTTGGCGGTCTTAAAAATCGAACCAACAAAGAGAGAGAGAGAGAGAAGAAAAATATCGATTGATTCGAATATCATTCGTGAAATAGCAAGAAATTGCAATTGACAGCAACGGTGCTTATGATGTTTCTTTCAATATTTTGACTTGACAAATGTCACAATACTTATCGTCATCTTTAAAGATTAAATTATTCTAAAGAAAATGATTAAATTTGCTAGAATTCTAAATGTTAAACAAAGCAATTTTTACGGCATACAACAAAAATTACGAACAAATTAATAAAATATTATATATATATATGTATATAAGATGTAAGATATTGTTATACAATGTAACATTGTATAACAGTGTTGCAAGATTGTAAGCGAAGGAGGACCCTTAAACCTTTGGAGTTTCACGTTCCAGGGAAATTGATACGCGCGTACGAACGCGTTGCGAGATAAGATCGGTCAGCCTTGAGCAAGAAACTAAACTAATGCCTCGTGCACAGTGGCGCACGAGATAGATATCTTGAGAATTTCATTAGCATGATCCAAGCTTGCCAGGCTCCTCTTCTTCTTTGAATCTTTTCTATCTCTCTCCCTCTTTTTATCTTTTCCTTACACCTATACCTTTCTCTGTCCTTTTAACTTGTCACCTGGGGCTACTTCTTTCTCGGCATGTGTTTTTCATTCTATACAAAATAATCTAATATCTTTACAAAACAAAAATAATATTTTATTTCATTAATTAGCACTTTTTAACAGGACTACAAAAATATTTCATTCCAATTTTTCACATTATTATTACTTTTACATTAGTATAAGGTATAAGAAATGATGTTTAATTTAATAATCATGATGTAATTCTGATTACTACACGAACACGTTTATCTTCTTTTTTCGTTCAATACCGATCGTGTATTTTATTAAATGAAATCCCAACGAATTTCTATAGGGAAAATCTTTCAACGCCGTACCACAAGTAACCTTATTACATAGGATAATATCATAAACTATTTTACGTGTGGGGAGGTTCAAAGCAAGATCCTATGAATTATTACACCATTAGCGTATGTAATCATATCCTGAGGAAAATTATACAGCAATTTGTCTCAAGTTGATCGAATCTGTCGAGGAAATTTCTTTTTCTTCTTTTTACTTTTTTTTATTTTTCTCTTTCTCTCTCTCTCTCTCTCTCTTTCTCACTTATTTCTCAAAAGCTAACGTAAAGGAGAAAACTCCCGAAGGAAATAGAAGCGTACGAAGTATTTACCACTATGAAACTATAAATATATAAAAGTTGGTGAAAAGAAAAAAAAACAAAAAAAAGAAATTTTCAAACAGATATGACATAAAACGGATTAAAATGTTCTTCCTTCTAAGTTGCTCAAATATATCGATATTCCATAATTACAGTTTCGGTTCGATCACAGTTTCTGATTTATCGCTCGATCGACACGTCATTAAATATCACCGGTGATCAAATTTATGTTGATTTTGTGGAAAAAAAAAAACTAAAAATCGTGAGAATTATTTTACGTAAGTGGGTATATTTTTGACTGAATTTTGTATCTTAAGATCGATAGAAAATATGTGTCGTATCGTGTCGTGTCGTGTCGTGTCATATCGAATGAATACAATTTTATAGAAAGTCATCGTAAGAATCGAGGACGCTTGAGAAAGTTTCTCGATAAGTAAATGTCAAAATTTTGAATATAAAAAAAAAACTAAACAAAAATATTATTGAGAAAGGTAATAATTAAAAGATGAAGAAATTGTATAGGAGTCGCGGTAGCTCTTCTTTGTCATACTATTTCAAATATTTCTATATAATATTTATTTAAGCGAGTCACACACAGGTAATAAACGAGGATCGTAAATTTTCCTAACATTTTCCTTAACGAAGCATGAACGTAATAGACACTTAAATAATTCTATTTCTTGTTCATCGTCCGTAACCAATTGAACTCTCTCGATTCTATTAAATATCTCATAAGAGAGTATTTAATGATCAATGCAATTTCGCATAAAGAATTTGTTCTTTTTCTTTATTTTTCTTCTTCTTTTCCTTCGTAATTCTAACCGATTTATCGGGAGAATTTATTCTATTGGTCACCGAGCGAATCCCATGATCACGGAAGTGCAATTTACTCTCTACGCGAACGATTTCTATCGGGGATACTACCGTACACAAACGAAGCTGTTGGATGCAAGTACACATTCACCAACGAGTTATCCAAGAATTCCAGTGCACTTTAACACGCTCACACAGAGAAAATCTCTTTGACTATACTTATTCGACTCGAGAATGACAACATTTGCAAACATTTTTCTTTTATAAAAAATCTTTAAAAATTACAAACCATTCAATTTCAATAATAGTAATAATAATAATAATAAAATATTTGATCGTACTTCAGAAAAATAATGTTTGCTGTTGCGTTATGTACACATATAATATGAACAATTCTTAATCATTCGTTGATTGTGAAATGTTCACTTCTTCAGTAGTATATACCAATAATGAATCAGACGAGACGAATTATCGACAAGTTTCCATTCTGCTGGGCATCCTGACTTGAGAATGATTGAGAAATATTTGAAATTTTTCTTCGTAATATTTTATAGACGAGTCATTTAATCACACGCTTATGAATACATGAGTAATATGAATAATGTTGATTTATACTGATTGAACATAACGCGAAGTACCTTTTCGTCATAGCATATGTTCCTTTGATAATTCAATTAACGTCAGAGATGAGGATACCGTTTTAACAAATGATTCTCGAAAGTCTCATTAGGTCGAATGAAATAAAGGAAAGTTTGACGTATTCGTGATTGTTCTACTCGGTGATGAATTATCAAACGACAAGTAAGAAAAATAAGTCATTAAGGTGGACTAATATCGCCGTCATATTTCGAGAGAGGAATATCAACAAAAATAGAATATAACTGATCATTAGAGTAAAAAGGGGAAAAGAAATAAATGCAATATTTTTATTTTGCTAAAGAAATGTCCAATTTTCGGGAGAATATTTCATACGTGACATAATGGGTCCAATCGCATCGAAAAGAGTCAACAATAATCTTACGATTTCGTGTACCACGAAAAATTCCAACATGATTGCTATTCTTTCTCTCTTTTCTTCGCTTTTTTTTCTTGTTTTTTTTTTTTCTTTGGCATGCATGAAAATATATCCTATATTACTTGCACGGATCTTTTAAATTTAATCATTCTTAGAAAAACACATCCTCATGATTTCTTTCGTTCATGGAAACAATCTGCACCGCGTGGAAAAGAATAACGAGTCTCCTTTTTCTTCTCAAAATCCCAATAATTATATTATGCTATTGCTATATAATTATTTTGCAGTTTATAATAAAATAACTAGCATAACTTTTTAACTTTTTTTAAATGACTACTAATAAATGAAATTATCATTTCACAACTATGCAACTGCAATAACATTTTATATCTAATTTCTTATTAAAAATAATTACACTGACGCATAATGAATTGTTTTTTTTTGTTTTCATTTATAACAGGAAAATGGCTGTTCGATGCAGACGGTGGACTTGGTGGCTAATTGTCCACTTCCGGTGGTGACAGGATCTTCGAGGTCGCCATCGCCATCAAGGTCGTCGAGACCCACGACGCCCTTGACACCCGTTGCATCGACGAGGAGCATGGGGCAACGGCCAAGTACACTTTTGCGTCCGAAGATCTCTTTGACTTGGGTCCTACGTGGTCAGCAGCAGCAGCAACAACAACAACAACAACAACAACAACAACAGCAGCAACAACAACAACAACAACAACAACAGCAGCAACAACAACAACAACAACAACAACAGCAGCAACAACAACAATCTACTACCGGAAACGAAAATAATCATTCAGTCTCGAACACGACAGGTTCATAATTTTACTTAAATAAAAAGATCTTTGTTTATTCGTTTCCAAGAATTAATCATTTGCACAGGAACAAACGTTCATCGTGACACACTTTCGCATGATAGCAGAGAAGTATCCTCGAGAAGGAGCATCAAAAGTGAAAAAGAAAAAGATGCTGGCAAGGAGAACGTCGTTGGACAAGAAAAACGTGAAAAAAAGATTCTTCATCGAATCGAAAAGATCGACAAAATGGAAAAGGTACATTATTCTTCATTTTGTTTATAAGACTTATTGGCAAACATATTGAACTAAAATAAATGAATTAAAATACATCGGTTTAATCGTTCCAGTCTATTAACAAGGAGACCATTATCAACGACAAAACTATCGACAGTCTGTTAGACAAGTATCCAGAAAAGGAATTCGCAAGTACGAAAGACACGAGAGAGAAAGAAAAAGTGAAGAAAGCTGTTTCCGAACCATCTCTTGTATCGCGCGAATCAACCTCGACTCCAAACAGTCGTGAAAAGTACAGACACAGACGTACCAAACGACCACATAAAACGAGACCACCTAGTAGATTCGGTTACGAAATTGCTGACCTGGATGCATTTTTAACTAAGGTAAATTCATTATATCAGAAGAATGATTTGTTGTAATTAAATAAAAAAAATAAAACACGAATAATTTGAAATGAATTTTGAAGGCATCCATAGAAAGACCAGCAAACATCCCAGTAGTTTTATCCTTCCCGTCAGTCTTATATCAAACGCAAGGTGGTACACAGGATGAAATGGCATTACCACTCGGAACAGTAGTAAATGCGGTCTTCAAAAATCAAAGTTGGTTGTATGTACAAACACCACACGGACAAGAAGGTTATGTTGGATATGCAGCTTGTTTACCACTAGGAATATTACCACAACCTACGCGTGGACCATGTTGGGAAGACTCGACTGATGTTTTTCCACGTCCGTTGGGTATGTCGAAAGAAAATTATGTGTCATAATAAAATATACCATTCTTACCAACTTATGACTCAGCACGTGCATGTATTGTACTTAGTTAATGTATACGTAAATATATTACCTATATTCTATGCGTGTGTTACAGGTAACATGACTGATACCGAAAAATTACGAGACACCAGATCAGAATGTGGTGCCCGAAGTAGAAACACTAGAGTGAGAAGAGGTTCTCGAGATGCGGTTTCTGCCTGTGGAGAACGCAGTGTTGATAGATTATATTTGAGAGCAGCTGCTAATGCTAAAACGAAAGGAGCTAGGCATACTTTGCTCGTTATACGTAACGATTACGAAGGTCGTGGTACTAACTCTTTGAGCGTTTCGAAAGGTGACGTCGTCGCTCTTCTGAGCGATCACGTAAATGATTGGTTTTGGGTTCGATCGAGAGATGGTAGAGAAGGCTTTATACCGGCTGTGGTTGCTGGTCATGGTTTCTTGTAAAATAAAAAAAAATATATACATATATATATATATATATAAAACAATTGCAGTCGTGCGTAGAGTGTCCATTGATTCGACGAGACATCAATGGAATGATTGTACATTTGTATAATAATTTTATATGATGTGCAAAATATTATTGTAATAATATATTTATTATTTAGACGAGGAAGATCATTAAAAGATTTTAATTCTTCTAATTGTAAAACATTTACACGAGGTGATACGTTAATTCCTTCCTAAAAAAATTATTTCGTTATGCGTGTGTAAGAAAATTGCCTAATATCAGGTGTCATGCAGTAAAGTTTATTCCAATGCTAGTCAATCAACAGATAGCATATGAAATCCCGACAATCGATTATCATCCTTGAAAGATCCTATTTCGATATATCTAGAACTCCAAAAAGATTTCCATAAACAATGACACCTATTTCAAATCATATTTTTATAATAATTTAGGAAAAAAAGGAAAGATATTGTTAAACAAATAAATGGATTATTTTGTAGGATTTAGAGTTAAACGAAGTATCTCTGTAAGTATAAAAACGTATATTAAGCAAATTTTAAAATCATTTCCCTGTAATTAAAGTTTGTGCATAAATCAAGATTGTTGGAGGAGCCTGCTATACTTAGCACTTTCTGTGGTAATTCTTGATAAATAGTAGAATAAACTGTATTACTCGACGTTGGCACTTTAGCTAATGTTTCTCCTTGATAAGTTAAGTGATATACATGAGGCGCTAAACCAGCTGCTATGATACGTTCTTCATAGATATGAGCAACGTGAATTCCTTGATCGATGAGATCAAATACTGTGGCAGGTTCCATCGTACGCATATGCCACAAAGATAAATTAGGACCCCCACCGCATAGCTAAAAATATTATTGTATTTTTTTTTTAACTTTTCTTAACAACTATTTATTCGCTTGATGTGAAACGCTGACAGAAAAACGTGTATATAAAATAAAGACTGATAACGTACCAACCAATCTTCAGTCAAATCAACGGCACCTATCCATTTACCAAACTTTGGACGTGATACTTTTTCTACCATATGTGGATTCAAGATATTTGTATTTTCTTTCTTACGCAAGTCCCACAACCTAACTGATCCATCCTCGCTACTCGATGCAAGTTGATTACCTCTACAATAATATCATTATCCAAAATATTAAGAAAAAGTATTATTTCTATTCGTTAACTTGTTAAACTATAAAAAGAAATACACTTACGCTAAGGATAGACAATGTATAAAGTCGGTGTGACCAGTTAAATTCCTAAGGATTTTTCCTTCTTCTAAACTTATAACATAAATATTATTGTCACCGCAACCAGCATACAAAATATTATTTGATTTAGAGTACACTAAGAAGTTGACATCTGCCTTCTCGTAACTATCTCTAGAAATAAAACGCAAGGTTAAAATATCTCTTTCATTTTACAATTTTATACTGTTAAACAATTTCAGAGATGTACTTGTTTGCTGGAATTTGAATAACCCACGAAGGTTTGCTCTTAGCAGCTTTACTAGAAGCAACTACTTTCCAATCCCATCCAGATATTTCACCAACTGTACCAGTAATTAAAAAGTTATCCTTACTAACCATACTTTGAATGTGTTGATCAGGATACGCAGTGAAATGATAGTTGGGTCCTTGCAATTCATTTTCTTCAATTTTGTGCGGTGTCAGTACTTTAGTTAAACTATATAAACAATAATTTTGTAATAAAACTTGCACATTACTTAAATTATATTTTAAAAACTTATATACAAATAACACAATTATTTGATTAACCTGTTAACCGGGGAGGGAGATCTCTTTTTTATTACGTAGCTTTTTGTATTATTTATTTATTATTATTTATGCTTAAAATAAATGAAAAGACTATGAAATATATATTTTTTCGCTTATTTATATATAAAGTACAAAGAGGTTTGTACCTTTAGCTTTAAAGCAATACGTTTGACATATTTATACGTCCCGTTCGGTTAACAGGTTAAGTTTAAATATACTTAACCTATAAAACAAAACTACATATATTATAAATAAAAAACTCACTCAAATATAGAAATATCACCGTAAATATTTCCAGCGGCGAGATAATTTCCATCACAAGAAAAGGTTTGAGATAATACAGTGTTATAAAATAATTTTTGATGAAACATTTTTACAAACGCATTATTTTCACATGCCAACAGGAACAATTTGTAAACTTTGTGACGTCACAGTACATCGAAAATTCGATACTTGATACAATAGTTATATATCGATAGTGTAATCTTTTTTCGTCCTTACGCGTATTGCCATGGCAATCGTGAAACTATAAACAGTAAACACAATGCATTTGATTAGATTTACTTTTAGTGTATGCGTAAATTTAATCTATAGCAGTATTATATTTAGTTGTTAAGGTTTATTATGCTAGGTAATATTAATTATAGGTTAAATTATCAATCGTTTAATTTTGACAGTTAATAGTTAATAACAATAAATGAGTGTTTTAACCGCAAATAAATATACGACAATAATAATCGGACAATATTTAATTTTGTTATTTGATATTTGTGTTAATTCCTTTGGAAGTTTTGCTAGGCAGTATCCAATCAATTTACTGGTTCTTTATATGTAAGTGATTTTTTATTAGGATTTTTATTGTAAAACGTAATTTAGGAGTAGCTAACCTATAAATTTATGAAATATTTTCTTTGTAATTTTACAGTATACAAGATTTCTGTTTAATCATTGGATTTACCATACTTTTGGTTAATTTCTTTTCTACATACATTTTTCAGGTAATAATAAAGAATATTTGTTGAAAATCATTTTGAAATATTTTCTAATTGTTGATTTGATTATTGTAATTCTGTTATAGGCTGGATTAATACAATTGTTGTATATTCGATTTCGTATGACATTAGTTATCTGTATTTTATACTTGGTTTTAAGTATTATTTTACATACGTGGCATATTACATTACATTGGTCTAATCCGTTAACACACAATTGGACCAAAGGATTCCACGCTTTGTACGCTGTTCATAGAATAGGTGTGTAATTTTAATTAGTTTTAAAATCGATCAAGGTATATATTTTATTAATTAAAAATTCTTTTTTTCTTTATTGTCATAATAAAGTTGCAGTTTTTTATTATTACTTCTATAAAAGAGCTGCTCTAAAAATTGCGGATCCAAGATTATATGAGGGTTCCAGTTGGGTAGAAAAACAATTGAGTCTTTTATGATATTTATTCTTTTTTCCTTTTTTTCAAGAGAGGGAGGGAGGAACTTTTTTTTTATATCCATATAAAAAACACGTGAACGCTTAAATTAGTACAACGATGTAAATAATAAATACATGATATTGTCCTCTATTCTAATACAATGTTATCAATATCGAATGATATAAATATTTGAAGAATGTATCATCGCTTAAATGGCATGAATGCATGAATGATTTAGAAGAAGATGAACAATATTTTCTATATGCGACTATCATTTGCTTTATATCGTCTAAAATATAATGTGATAATATATTTATTAAATTGTGTATGTGGAAAAGATAATTGATAATATTTAATATAAATTACGATTTTGACTACAATTTGCTATTATTTTATTACTTAAAACGAAGATTTTAGTTTTATTAGATAAAATATTTAACAATTTTGTTGAGGTAGTCTTTTATTAATAGGTAATTTATCGTGCTTTAAATGTTCATAATCATGAGGTACTGAGACTAAAATATTTTTCTTTTTATAATTGCATTGAATATGCATGTATTGATTAAAATTTAAAATTACTTTGAAGGACTTAAATATAGATCTATACATATATTGTACATTTTGGATTAGTAGTAAAAATAATAATAATAATAGTAGTATAATAAGTAAAAATTAATCGTATCTTATGTTTCTACGAAGATCAAAATCATTTTGGTAGTTTCTTAAAATTTATTCGTAATTCTTCTAATTGAACTAATCTTTTAATTAAATATCAATGAAACTTTGCTTATATGTAACTTATACTTTGAAACAATAGTTTCTGCTTAAAATTCATTTTGTACAATAATATGTAATATTTGATTTTATAGTCGTATTTTACGTACATTATAAAATATTCATTGTTTATAATTGTACGTATTTTTTTACTATTTTACAATTGTTCTTTAATGTCGCTTAGAATATAGAAATCATGATTTTAATTAATACATTTATATAATATAAGATAACAAAATTTCGAATTAATATCATTTTAGAATAAAATTATTTGTTATTCGATCGGTTGAAAATATTTTAATATATCCTAAACACACTATTGTTGTATGAACGTGCCACGATATAAACATTTATTTAAAATAAATTATTTAAACCTAACACGCGAATGTGATACTATTTTAATCGCATATAGGAGTTGTTTTTTTTTTGTGTACAAATATCTGAGTTCTTTCATTCTTTCATACGTACTTTTTATCTACTTGTTTTGAATAGTCTATATAAAAATATTCTTACATTAGAATTTTATCTATTAAAGAAAATGTTAAACGGCTGCCTTACGCAACGAAAGATGATGATTCTTATCAAGGAAATGTTGATGAAGTTATTACTTTAGAAAGAAATTATTTTCTTCCTAAAATTAAAAATTACTTTCTAGAAATTATTTATTGAATATTTAGTATAATCAATTTTGGCAATTACGTTAATATATTTTATCACAAAGTATAGATAACATATAGAAACAAAAAATATATATCTTTTTATATATTAATAATGATTCTATATATTGAAGTATTTTTCTTTTTAATTCTGGATTTCATGTAAAAATTACAATAGTTCATAAATCTTAGAAAAATCTTATATTTTTACGAGACATTATTAAATCATTATAAAGGTAATTTTTGTTAAATACACCACCTTATTTATCGTATTGTAATTACTGCAACCGATGAAATAGTTAATATTGCGACACATATATACAGTACGTACGAATAAATATACAAATCTATAATACAATCGACCTCAAATACTTTTTGGTTCTCCTTCTGCTATTACGAAATATTAAAATAGACATCAGACTTTGGTGAAATAATAATTGTATATGTATCTTCATTAAAGCTACGATAATCTTTTTTTTTTTTTTTTTGTCTTTTTTGTTACTTTTGTTCAACAAAGTAACAACAAAAATGTTCAAAGATTAATCCGATGTTCTTTTGCATGCAATTTTCTCGTAATTATTTGTTTTAAAAAGTGAAAACAAGCGTATCACGTATTATCGTAAAATAGTTGATTCTATTTACAAGATATTTCCAAATAGCTTGATTTATTGATATTTTCAAAATTGTATTATAAGCAACAAATAAATTGAATCAAACCGTATGATTGCCGTGAAGGAAAAGTAACTTATCGACTAAATGAGACGGTACGGCAGCACGCCTCGTTTCATATAAAACTTGTACTTCTGCAGGAATACGAGCTGGCGGAGCGCAACAAGCAGGGACACAATTATACCTACATGCTAATTTAGCTAGATTTGGACATTTAGCGGATACTTTTGCCCACCATTGCAAAGGACAATAATCGAGAGGTGCAGTCGATTCTGATTGATATTGCACTAATTCCAGATTAGCTTTTTCCTCTGCTGGTATTCCATTCTTCGTTGAACACAAACTACCAAGTAAGAGTTCCATACCTGTAGATATACATATGTCTGTTTGTTTGTTTGTTTCTTTTTTCATTTTCTCTTTCATTCATTATTGTAATGATATTTTTGATAAAAAATATTATACCTGATAATCTACTTTTTTTATTCAACGGTTCATCTTCCATTTTAATCAAGTCACCACTTTCTGCCTGTATTAGCTTAGTCAACATTTCTTTGATAGGATTAACAGCCATACCTTTGTCTTCTTCTGATGCATATGGTAATTGCTTAAATCTGTTAATTTAAATTGATGATAATGATTAATTGCAATTGATTATATATGATTAGATTTAATATAAAATGTTATTTACCGTGGATCTAACGATGTTGCAATTTGAAGCATAAGATTCACATTATAATCAGAGTATCGTTGGAACAACATTTCCGACAAAGACACTTTAAAAGATTTGGCTATATCGCTATCACTTTCTTTTGTTTTAAGATGAGATGACACAAGCTGCCAAAGTAATGGCCTTAGAAGAGATATCAAAGGCATTTTCTCTTCGCTGAGCGTTATAATAGTTACTTTAAATGGTTCAAGAACATTAACAAGATCCTCAATTATTTTCCATTCCTCGGGGGTTAAATCGATACTTTCTTGTTCATTACCTTCTACATTATCCAATATAGAAGAAATGATATGACGTTTTGTTACAATTTGCTCCATCATATTATGAGTGGACGTCCAAATGCCAGGATAATCGATTAGTATGAACTTTTCCTCAGACTTAATATAAAAGAAATATAAATATAAATATAAATATGTAAAAAGAAAAAAATAAATTATACCCCTCTAGATAAACATTACCTCCACTTCTTGTTCTTCTTGCATAGAAATACCCGTAGAACCCTGAAGATTTGGAATGGCTCCAATAATAGTTCTACATTTGGATAAAATATTAGCCACTGCTGCATTGTCGAAACAAGCTTGTGCGCAAACTTGTAACGTGTGAAGGAGACATGGTATCAATGTTAAATTTTTAGATCCTAATGCAGCTATCAACTCTGCTCTAGACGTTGCTATGACCACAGCCGTTATTCGTTCGATTTTAATATACCACTCATGTAATAAAGTATCAATTACGTTACACCATTGATCCTTATCCCAGTTTGAAGGCGCGTGCAAACTATTTAAAACTTTATATTCCAGGGAAGTTTCACCCGTATTTTGATAATACACAGATATTGTCACAAAACTTTCATTGAAATTAGATTTCCATTCTTCGATGGTTAAACCAACGTCGCTGTTTATACAAGCGAGGGAAGCAGTCACGGATTCACGAAAAGTATCATAAATTTTAGGTATTATTTCTTCTTCGAGCTTCTTTTTACTTGGAATTTCACAAGGTGATCTTAACGTAGCAACAAGCCTTTGAAATCCATGACCTTCTACCACTTCTGGTAACTGTAGGTCCATTATTATAAATTCCGCAATAGCATCAGATAAAGTTTTACCGTCTATACTTAATTGATGCACCGTGTTATCTTCTGGCATAAGAAATGCTACATTTTGATTATTATTACCCATATTTGTACTACCTTTGATCATCACTCTCAATGGTTGAGCTAGAGTAATGTCATCTTCCATATTGGATAGATTAATATTTGGATCTGTCACAAATTGAATATCTCCATCGATTTGTACTGTACCATCCGCAGCAGTAGTATAAATATGTTGTGGCGATGATAATTCAGCTTTGATTTTCTTTTTCTGTGCTCTACGATCCTTTGCCTCCTGAGAAATAACTTGTCTACGGGGTGGCGTAGTAGATTCCAATTCTAACAACTCTTGAGAATGTTTATTTTGCAAATGCATTCGCAAATTACTAGTGTTACGATTATATGCAATTTGTGTCTTACATAATATACATACAATTTTAATCTTAGTTAATATATCACCGTCTTCGGTAGCAGGAAATCCAAAATATTTCCAATAAATACTTCTCATTGACATAGGTACAACTAATTTTTTATAAGAAAACGTATGCTTTTCTTCCATCATTTTAGCAAGTACCATTTGCATTTCACTCCTGGATTCATGTGATGCAGTAGATTTACTAGTATTACACGCTGTTGACGACCTAGTTTCCATGGTTATATCTTGAAATGCATAACTACCGGCACATGTATCTTATCCGATACGATCAAGACCATAGTATGGATTGGAGATTATTTTCTCTATTGTGTGTAAATATATTATATTATATCATTTATTTACCCAATTCTCATATCCGTATCAAAATGGTGGACCTCTATAGTTGCATAATTTAAAATATCATGTTTGGACGAAACGTTTCAACGTTAATTATAATTCAACTTCTTTAAGTCGAAATGATATCAAAAGGATAATGAATTTGCCGCGGTCTATACACCGATATCACAGAACGAGAGGTTCGGTAAATATTTTATAGATATCGAAGTTCAATTTCTCGTTTTGAAAAGAACGATGCACGATCACTTATCGACCAAACAGGAAACAACGATATCGACTTGTATTCGTACTTCCCTACAAATATCGTTACAAACGAATCTCGGCAAATCGATGACTCCAGAAAATATACTATTAAAGCTCCATCTACAACGCTTTTCACTTATTTTCAATTATGATTGGTCGATGCATTTGTCCAATTATATAAACAATCATTCAAATTTGACTAATACATCATTTCGATACAATATCTAATTTATTTTCATAAATACAATCATATTCTCATGAAATTACTTATACAAATCAAATATACAAATATTTGAATTATTTGACAAAAAACATCAACCAATAGGAAAACGAGTAATATTGGAACTCGAAAAACAGTGTAGCCATTCGTTGAACGTTAAAAGTCTATAGCATGTTTATAGATTTGATTAGGATTATGAGGGTGAATCACGGGGGTGAATGTTCGTTGTGTGTATAATAAAGATAAAAATCATTTATCCAGTTAATAAATTTTAATTTTGAGAAGAAAAAAGAAAGAAAAATGATTATTGTTTATCAAATAACAAATGTGTGTTAATTATTATGAGATGATAATAATAGGAAAAGTACAAAATCGATTGAAGGAAAGATTATAAATTAGCGGTAAATCGAAAGGGTATTTCTTCGATGCATTTATCGAAAATAATCGATATCTAGTTACAGCGATTATTCGTTAGGTGGCGCGTCGGTAGAACATTCGAGGTTTTGTCGTAAGGCGCGTCAGTTCAGAGTCAACCGTAGACGGCTGTTTTTACGACGGATGTGACAAGGCCGTTTTCTCTCTCTCTCTCTCTCTCCCCCCTTCTCTCTCTTATTCTGTCCGTTCTATCTTTTTCTCATACACAATCGTATGTACATTTAGTTTTTTTTTTTCATCCGTTTGTACGCGTCAGTCGGAGACAGTTCGTCGTTCGTATTTTAAATAGAAACTCGTCTGTTCGTTGGTGAGTTATCCAAAGGATTGTTATTCGTCAACAAGGCGAACAAGAATATAACAGGAAAAGAAAAAAGAAAAGACCGCGATTCGTGCAAACGATGATCAACGTGAAAAGTGTGACAGTGCGCGAGCTGGGTTAAAATCAAACACGCTTCCTTCGAAATAAATATCACTTGGATTTCAATTAATCGTTTTTTCTTGTAAGTATTATTTATTTACGATAAATTATATTCAATACTTGTATGTTTTGTTCTGTAATCAACTTTGACTATGTATGCGTGAAAAAGAGAAAGAGTTAGATAGACAGATAGGTAAATAGATAGATAAAAGTCATCGACCATCTTCGTTTAACAATACTCTCTCTCTCTCTCTCTCTCTCTCTTTCACTCTATTTCTCTCTGTCTATTCTTCGTTGTGTGTACACGTTCTCTTTTTTAATCGACGATAAAAGGTTTTGTACGAATTTAAGAAAATAATAATTTGCTTTGATCTTGAAATGAGAACAAGTTACATGGATGTGAGATGAGGTTATGACGAAGAGAGATCTGAGAGAGTGTCTACACCTGCCATCATGGGACAGTTGTGTTTTAACTCGTTTTATTTTTATTTCTCATGCATGCTACTCTCTCTCACTCTCTCTCTCTCTCTCTCTCTCTCTCTCATACATAATACATTAAATCACGTATACATAGATAAAGTAATATACAAATCATACCGTCGTATACATTTATACACATGTACGTAACATAATGTGCATATATATATATGTATTACATGGAAGTATACATAAACGCACTCTTTCTTCCATGGTTGTGTTGTGTACGTTTAGCTCTGTTGATGGCCGTTGCACGCTCGATCAGGTTTTCCTTCGGTTCGCCTCGTTACCTTCCATACCACATTAACGATTTTGGAGTTTTGCGAGGGAACGAGTTACCCGCTTGAAAATCCCTCTACGACACCGTTCCTCTCTTAAACGAAAAAAAGAAAGAAACGAATGAGAACACAGAGATTAAGTCATATATAATCATTTTTTTCCAACTTTTAACTATAAAACGATGTAATATGTTATTTTTTATTGGACTAAGAAAAAAAACTAGATTGATATGTTTGTTTCTTTTCATCTTTCTCACACAACTACTCACCAAAGTAGAATGAATACATTTTAATAATACATTATCAATTGCAAGATGATGCTACCGTAATCGTGCTTGTTCGCATTACATAAGTGTGTTTGCAATTGTAGGCATGCGGTGAGCACGATCTTTAAAAACAATCATATACCTATATATATGCATATATGTTTAATAATCGTATAATACGTATATGTACACGTGGAGATGTGTAATAAAATGGTTACGTAGAAATTGATGTACGCATTTCACTTGTCAATGTTTAAACAAATGTGTTCTCTATGTTAGAGCTAGCTTTAAATTGGCTTACGATTAACATCTATAATTTATGATTTTCGTTTAACCGCGTTTTGAATTTAATTTCAAATATTAATTTTCTCAAAACAAACGTTATATATATATAGGATATATTATTTCAGATAATGATCGTCGTCAACGAATAATTTTAGTCATATATCAATTTACTAATTTATATGGGTTCGTTGTAATTAATAATACGACGTATGTACATGTGTATTTTCACATTTCGTTTATATTAATATTATTATTAAATATTATTCATTTAATAGGATAACAAAATGACAAAATTCATGTGATATTATAAAGGACCACACAGATAAGAGTTACTTTCTTTAGAAATTCGTTTAAATTGCCCCAGCTGCTTTAATATAGTTAATTTATGTTATTATTATGGTAACATTATTGTTATTGCGCATCTTACATTAAAATATATATCAATAGAGATATATATATCATAGAAATATAATCAAAGTAAAGAATTTGATGAAAGTTATTTTAGTCCGACCCTGTATAATGATTTATCTCGTTTTATTTTGATCCTTTTTGTAATCAAGATCGAGGGTATTCTCTTTGTTTGCACACCTGTTCTTTCAAGATCGTATTGAATTCCTTTTAATTATTATTAGACAATAAAATGAACGAGAGATAACGATATAGAGAAGATCATTGAAAAAGAGTTTTTCGTTAGATTAAACATCGTTTAACGTAGACAATTGTATACTCTCCTTTTCTGTTTTATAAAGACTCACTTGTAAATAAAATCCCACGGATATCGTATTTTCTCTTAGATTTTTCAGGTCGTCGGAAGTTTTTAATGAAATTTTTTAACACGGAGAATAACGCGATAAAGAAAAAACTCGTAAACAAGACTATTCAATCCTCATTATTGTTTATTTATAGCACGAATAATCGACTTCTTCAATTCTAAACTGATACTATTTTGATAATTATACCTAGGCAAGTGTAATCAAAAGTTTCATAAGTATTTTCAATTAGTTTATCTTTATTTTATCGCCATTTAACGAACAAATTTAATGTAATAATATATAAAGTAAGTAAACATGGATTTATTTTTATTATAAAAGGTCAATGTGTTATATTTTAATTTTCCCGCGCATTTATCCCGCCGTACTCATACGTCCTATCTATTGGAGGATTCTCGCAAAAGAAAAAAAAGTAACGTCTTAAAGTCAATTACAAAAGTATAATTAGAGTACTTTAATATGTAAAAAAAAAAGAAGAAGAAGAAGAAGAAGAAAAACACAAGGAAGATTTATAGTAGGTGCAAATTAGCAGTTTTTTTTTCTTTTTTTTCTCGCGTTAAGAGCACGAAATTCTTAAAAGTCGAGCGAATCAGCTTTCTCGCGGGAATTTCAAAATCGTTTCTCTTCTACTTAAGGTAATCCTTTAACTCGTTCGTGTCTCATTACGATCTTTTTCGAACGAGTTACATGTTAAATACAAAGCTCGTAATTACGACGAATAACGACGAATAACGACGAGATGATTGACAAAGTTGTTCGATTACTTTCTTTTTTTCTTTATTCGTCTTGCGTATTAGAAATTACGTAAAAACTGTGATTATTAACACGCGCGTTGTCTTTTTCGTAGGTGGAATTAAGAAACAAAAGAGGAGAAAGAGGAGGAGGAGGTGGGAGGAGGGAGGATAAGAAGAAAATAAAATGGCAAACGGAAATGACAGGGTCAGTCGTGAAACTCGAGTGTTGTCATAATATCATAGATCGCGTGGGATCGAAAGAAAAAGGAAGTGGAAGCAATGAAACTTCGACGAGAATCGTCGTCTTATCCTCCGCAGCATCCACCACCCGTTCTTATAACTCGACGACCATTCTCCTCCTTGAGTCCTTGTTGCTGCTGCCGTTGCCGCTATTGTTTATGTAACCGACTTTCCTCCTCGACTACTATCACTTTCCGTTGCATAAAGGGATAAGAAAAATAAATACAAAGAAAGAAGGAAAAGTTAAGAGGGAAGAAAATCAAACGAAACGATTTATTTGTCTTCTTCAGTCATCCATCGCAAAGGATTTTCTTCAAAAGTTTCAAATTGACTAAAGTTATATATATAAAAGAGAGAGAGAGAACAAATATAATATATAAATATATATATAATATCTATAGTAAGTGATAAAAAAAAAAAAAAAATAAAAGATTGGAAAAAGGAGGAAAGAGGCGAGCTGTATAAGCTACGCAGGATCAAAGTGAAGTGGCCGGTTCTCGGTGAGATGGCCTTCATGATGAAGAAGAAGAAGAAGTATGAATTCTCGGTTGAGGTCGACCTCGAGGAACTCACCGCAGTGCCCTTCGTTAGTGCAGTGCTATTCGCTAAACTGCGTTTACTTCATGGGGGTTCTTTCGTTGGTCACTCCACTAGGTGAGTTTATGACGTAATCCATTTTTTTTCTCTTTTTTTTTCAATATTGAAATATAATTACATTGATTAGTATAAACAAGTTTTTATTACATTTCTTCGTTTAATTCTTACGTATCAAAGGTTCCGATTTTATTGCCGTTTTTTTTGCATTATTATTATTATTATTATTATTATTATTATTATCATTATTAGTTTTGTGTGTGCGTCATCGATGATGGAGATAAAGACGATCTATTCGTTAAAACAGGAGGAATATTATCTTCGATCAACTTTCAAATACTTCGTCTCTTTCTCGTTTCATTTATTTTTTTTTGTTATCTCTTTTAATTTGTTTGTTTGTTTTTTTTTTTTAAATGAAGTTTTTGTTTTATAGGTCGAACAAATAAGTCTTGGAAATGTGAAATGTGTCCGAGGCTTTGATATTTACGAAAGAAAAATATCCTTTGACAAAGTGAATTTTATATATATATATATATATATTTTTTTTTATATGAAATTAGGAACATAAAAAATAATATTGTAAGGAATACGCATTATACGGAAAATTATACGAGGGACATTATGCGTAGAGAAAATAAATAGATGTAGAAAAAATAAAGGGGGGGAGGAGGAGTGTATAAGTTAAAACAGTAATATATTTTCTTGGAAACGATTAAAGATTAATGTTCGTCTCACACGCTCGAAAGCGTGTCTACACCCTCGGCGAAAGTTTTCCGTTTGACCGATCGATGATTCCCTCCTCTGTATGTGTTTCCTACAGAGAACAAATATAGAAACGCGTTCTTATAGAGTGGAACTTTAGTCTGAGAATAATGGAAAAATTACGAGAATAAAATTATTATTTTACTTGGCTAACTTCAATTTGAAATTTATAGTTTTTCCTTACACTTTACATTCGAGGTCACAATTTTCTTATTCCTTTTTTGTTTTTTGTTTTTTTTTTGTTTGTTTTCTAATCACATTAGATCTCACTAGGGATCCTGTAGGAGGGATGCGTCATTCATATTCAGCTCATGTGCCATTGGCTGACCAAATTTTGGGGGACCGCTTGAATTTATAATAATTTTTTCATGTAACCTATTCTATTTTAATATAAATTTTTAATTATCATTAAATATAGTTCATTTTTTCTATATTTGATGCAATTCATTATTTCATAATTATTTCAATGTTTAAATCATTCGCGCGCAAAATCGAGTTCCGGTCCCCCAGCAATGTACAGTCAACCCTCCTATAACGCGGTGAGTGCGTACCGCGTTATATGGAAACCGCGCTATAAGAAACTCTGATTTAACCGTACAAACCAGGCTAATTCGTAGCGCGTTCTATGGAGACCAATAAGGACAAGATAAATTATAAATTATTTTTATTGAATTGAAGAGTTTATATAAAGAAATGATACGAAAACTAAACTAAAAAACTGTTTTCCAACAAAAACAAGAAAGACTTTTGTAAAATTTAATCTTTCAACACTCATCCTCGCTGTCAGATAATATGAGTCGCCTAACTCGTCTTCTTTTAATAGGCAAAATGTCTTCCTCACTTGGCTCATCTTCACATTGGTTTTCGATTGTAGCTTTTTTTTCTAACTCCACTAAAACCTCTCTATAGGGAGCTAAGCAATTTCTTAACTCTCTTTTAAACTTTGCGCTACGCAMCGTTGAATGATCAGTTTCAATGAAATGGAGTTCTAATTCTTTAGCCAAATTTAGCCCTTTTTTCACATCTTGTAAATCGACATTTGGCACCCATTCGTTTTCCTTATTTTCGTTTACCAATGGATTTGAGGTGGGTGCATCAATTAAATCCATCAGTTCATCCTCATCTAAAGTTTCTTCCCCGAGTACGAGTTCTCTTACATCCTGATGGTTTGTTGTAAATTCTTCATCGCTTAAACGAGAAGCAATGTTTACTATTTCTGTAACTGGGAGTGAAATTGTAGAATCATCTTGTATTGCTTGAACCATTTCAGGTAAAAGGGGTTTCCAACACGCATTAAGCGTTGATGGTTTAATTTCCGCGCAAGCCGATGACACGGTTTTAATACAATCTAAAATAGAAAATTCCATCCAAACTTGAGTAAGGGTTTTATTTTCACTACTTTCTAATCTGTCGAAAATGGTTTGGAAAACTTGGCGTGTGTAATACATTTTTAAAGTTTGAATGACTCCTTGGTCCAAAGGTTGTATTAATGACGTGCAGTTAGGAGGAAGGAAGACAATTTTTACATTTAGATGATCCAGTTGTATGTTGTGGCAACCAGCGTTATCAAGAACCAATAAAACTTTGAAATACAATCCCCGCCTTCTAAACGATTTAGAATTTCGATTTTATCTTCAAGAGATATAAACTTTCTTTTTAACCCTTTCCTTGTTTCTTTCGTGTTTGACATGATGCAAATCTAGGGTTAATAATTACTTTATTATTATTATATTAGAACAAATGAAGAATATTACTTACTGTATTGTAATATAATATATATATATAAGAGGGCTGTCGCATTTTCAGCTCCGCGTTATATGGAAACCGCCTTCTGAAAGTACCGCGTTATAGGAGGGCTGTCGCATTTTCAGCTCCGCGTTATATGGAAACCGCGTTCTGAGAGTACCGCGTTATAGGAGGGTTGACTGTACATGGCGCATCGCTCCTATAGGATCCCTAGATTACACTAATTAATTTCACAATATCTTTTTCAAATGTTTTCATAATCGGATACTCATAAATAATTGGTGAATACATTTATGTTTGTTATTTGAAATATAAACATAACAAAAGTACAAAGATAGAAGAAATTGTTAGATGAATAAATTGAAATCCTATGGGTAGAGGGTATATGTTTCGTGTGTTAGAAGGATTTAACCAAAGATATATTCTTAGAAGAAAATCGAAGATCTAGATCGTCGAGTACTATACTATATCGGATCGGTGATGCATTTTCACCGTGCGAAAATGCATCGACGATTTCTTCGCATCGATTATTCCGATCGAGTTCCTCGATTAAATGCGATTTTATCCATTTATTTCCACGGCTTTGCATCTATCGCTTTGAAAATGTTTGAATGATCCAAATCTTCATCTATTCTCGATCCATTCTTCCAATAACAAATCCGCATGGATTACAAAAAAATATGTTTAAGTAATAGTTTCTATTTTTATTTTCCAATTCTATAGCAATTATTTTGATTTATTCGCATCCAATAGGTAAAGAGAAAATTGATATTTTAACAAACTCATGCTATGAGTTTCCGAAACACCCACTGAATTTATTTTTAAACACGCTTGACAAGCATGTTAAAATTAAATTTGATTGTATTCAAAACAAAAGGAAGGGTGGGAGGGAGTTTGGGAGGGAGGGAGGTATTAGAGAAAATTTGATTTTTTCTTTTTTTCTTTTGAAATGACGAAATTAACAACGTTCTCGTTGTTCACGTCATTTTTCTTGATAAAATTGCAAACTCACACGCTTCTTATTTACAGTGTATTACGCGTATGTTAGAACGCGTAGCATGATAATGATCGTTCGAGAATATGTTTCTCGGTATCTCATCAATGACATTTTCGCAAGAATCGAGAAAAGTCGGCCTTGGAAAGTCGCCAAAATACTTCCGTGTATCGTGCCTTTCGGAAATTGTATTCTCATACCAGCCAGAACGATGCTCCTTCTCTCTCTTTTCCAATTTTATTTTTATTCATTTCATTCCTTCTCGATTAAATTTTTTTCCAATCGAATTTTCATCATTTTCTTCTTATATTTTAATTTCATTTGATATTTTTTTTTATAGAGGAGGGAGATATTTTATTATAGAAATTAATTATATTTCTTTTCAATATTGTAATAATTAATTTCAACGTCATTTAATTTCTCTCTTCGTTTTTAATTTAATTACATTTATTTTCAATTATCTTTTTTTTTTCTTTTCCCTTCAATTTTTATTCATTTCTCTACACTTTCAAAAATTCATTCTTTTTAGACATTCTCGTAATTGGTTCATCCGGTGACTTATATTTTTTTTTCTTTAATTTTATATCACACATAATTCTTTTGCCCACATTTCTAATGGATTTTTTCTACATTTCCATGCAGCTTACTTTTTTTTTTATTCAATTTTACCGGCATATTCCTTTTTCTACTTTATTCAATTCTCTCGAGAGTTATAATTTATTTTTAGATTACTCCAGTCTTGAAAATAATCCAATTAAAAATTATAAAAATTATGAAAATGATTAATTTCAGTTTGCGTTTAACGACAAGCACAAAGTCGTTCGTTAATTAAGAAAAACGTAAATTACAAGAAAAAAGAAAAAGCAACAAGAGACGACTAAGCAGATCAAAAAGAAGAAGGAAATGAAAGATTTGACTGGCGATGTTGTGCATAAACGTTGTTAATTCCATTTCGGCGATCTTCCAAGAAAATCTTTTCTCGATTGCTAATTTAATGCTTTTGAAAAACAGAAAGATGGATAGGAATAATATGACCTTGAAAAAGGACCTTCAAATATTGGAAAAAGTAGAGTAACGTTGTTAAAGTAAAACGTATCGAAGCTTTTACTTAATTCTCATTGATCCATCCCTTTGCATTCTTTCGTTATCTCTTTTTCTCTTTAAATAGGAACTCAAACCACACACCAACACACATGTAAATGCATATGTATCTTACAAAACATGGATTTTATGATAAAAGCTAGATACAATGCATTGTAATGTAACGAGGAACGTGCGTGTCCGGTTTTTAAAAGGGTGAGGCGGCATTTAAATGGTCAAATCTCGGTCTTCTTCATTGTTCTTTGAATTTGTAATGGAAAGACTCTAGACTCTAAATAACAAAAGACCTCTACTCTTTTTTTTTTTCTTTTTATTTTCTTTTCATTCTTCTTTTTCTTTTTTTTTTTTCCTTATTCTCGCGATTTATAATTTTTCGTTGAAAGAAAATGCTCTGTAGCCTCTCTTTTAAAAACCTTAAATGTAGTTTTTTTTTAAATTTCTTTCAGCAAGTCTTTTA